ATTATTTTTAATATAAATTAACATTACTTTGTAGAGCAAAATCCTGTTTCTTAATTAGTTTTACACCCGCACACACAGTCAAGCTCTTAAGTATGGAACCAAGACTATGTGACTTAACTTCTGTAGTGGCTGAGTATCTGGCTTCCTTCCTCAGAATTCATAACTACAGGCATAAAAGGGAAAAGTTCAGTTATCCTATTGAAATCTTGAAATTTACATGATTAGGGATTAGTGTTTGTTCTTTTTTCTGGATTGAACTTTACAAGGAAGATTAAAATATTGCTTAAGACAATTTTGAGTTTTCAAGAACATTTTTTTAATTTAATTTTTGAGAGTTAAAGATGGAAATATAGCCATTTCTAAAACATTTATAGTAAGGCTGTTTTTCTATCAAGGGGAAACCAATAACTTCTACAGAGTAACTGAAACCAATAACATTACTGTTCACTGGATTTTTCTATTGTAGTTAAAACTGCCTCCTTCTAAAGATAGAATCAGAGGTGATTTGCAGTTTTCTTTGCAAATAAAGCCATCTTTTTTTTTTTAATAATAATATCAGGTGAAGCACTGCAGTGCTATACATGTGCAGGCGCAAATAATGAAGAGTGTAACCAACAAGGCTCTGAGCAATGTCCAGGACATTCTGATGCTTGTGTAATCATCAGAGGACAATCAAGTAAGTGGCTATGTAATGACAACAGTCTGAAGTTTCAACTTTGTTAAATTCAAAAAATATCAAACAGCAGAACACTTCGTCAATATTGTTGTCAGGACAGGAACAAGAAATCAGAACAAATGTTGATCACAAAATAGAACCATGGGAGCCATTCACATTTTATCATTAGCATTGTTGATAAATTCTACTTACATCTAATTTCTGGCTGCCTGTGAATAGAAGCTTCCACATTTTTCTCCTTTTACCAATAAATCATTCGCTCACTGAATAGTAAATGAGTGGCTTATCTGATACTTCAGTTAGCAGGAAGGGTTTTCTGCTATAAGAAGCCCAGTGGTAAATGTCCTAAAGCATGGAAGGCTCTAGATTTTTTCTAAATTAAAAGGTATGGCGCTTTGAACCGATGCATCTGTGTTTGGTGTAAAGCAAACAAAATACAAGGGAAGGGCAAAATGCTCTTAGAATGATTTGTTCCTTGAACTGTCCATGCCTCGGGTAAGCGGTTTGATGAGCCGAGATGTCCTAATTCAAGCTAATAAGATAAAGGAGCACATAAGCATAGATGATGTAATGTCTTCTGGATTTGTCTCTGAATCTATTCTAGGTGGCATTATGAAGTCCTGTTCATATAGGTCATTCTGTGAGCGAGCCCGGAGGGGAAGCTCTCAGACTCCGGGAGTGAGCGTTCACTGCTGCTACTCAAACAACTGCAATGCCAGAGGCTTGGGCTCCAGAAACATCCTCTGCACCCGTTACTTCTCCCTCTTGCTCTTTGCTGGCTTCTGGCACCTGCTGCTTAATCTGAACTGAACACTGAAACCGGAAAGAGGGATGGAGAGAAGGCTACAAAACCCAGGTTTTCAGGCTGTATTTAAATGCCACCGAGAGGAAGGACCCTGATCATGTGAGCACAGCATATTATATAATCAAATTCAGTGGACACCCTGGGAGAAAATCACCATGCTTTGGCTCAGGAAAAATGCTATAGGAGGGTCTGTGTAATTAGAAAATGACAGTACTGTATACAGCTGATCTGCAAAGATGATAATAATTATCACTGGAAGAAACACGTGATTTAAAAAACTATCCTGCTTTCCTTTTTTCTTTTCTTTTTAATGTCCACACATTGAATCAAGTCATTAGTGGAAATGGGAAGAGGTGCCCACCAACCACTCCTCCTTTTTCCTTACTCCATCCACCTGACACATAAAACATGAGCATCTGCAGTGAGGAAGCCAACTTGCTTATGATCTGGAAGTTAGAATTTTCAGAGTTAGGATTTTAGATCGCCTGGATGTCTCTGTGTGTGCAGATGTTAATTGAAAGATTTTCTCATTACAGCCACCTGTAGTAATATATGCATGAACATTAAGGCAAAGTGCCATGATTGTGCAGTGACCTTGGGATGTGGCTAGGGCCCTCAATGTGCATACTTTCAAAAGCCTTTTTATATTAGGTCTTTATTCTCTTTATTCTAATTTATTCTATACATCTAATAAACAAAGCAACTGCTTGCAAAAGGCAACCAACAGCTGTGATATGAACAGCTTTATGATTTAACCATACCCCATAAATGCCGCTCTAAGTGATGTCATTTGAAGT